GCAAGAAAGTAATGCTCTCCGAAAGGCGTCGCGTTGTCTTCACGAAGTTCAAGGAACCTGCTTGACAGTGACCTGGATGCTCGGGCTGCTGCAATCCCGGCTACTGCAAATTGGTGTCCCAACTGCGATATTCCTTGAGAGATACGTTATGCTCGCAACTGGGGGCCACCGAGTTCACAACGAGGGAGCTTGCGCGTATTGTATACCGAGTCTGCCTAACGGTCACGCTCCGTCGATTGCCGTAGCAGGATCTTGTCGGTGTGCGATATTAGGCCGTCAGGCGGTACCTCTGTAGGGCTCGACGCAAGGTGCAATGCGGAATCTGACTGCGCCGGAGATATGATGATGATTGAAGGAAGCAAGTCCCCTGGAGAAGTAAACCTAGAGGCGTAACATGCTGTTCCCGACGCTCCATGCACTCGTGGGGATGATTCGAAACCCTTGGTTTGTGCTTTCCATTGACTGATCTATCTCTGTACTACTCATAGCCATGAATCACATGGCACCCTTTGGATGCCGACGACATGGAAGCCGGTAGCTGAGCGAGATTGAGAGCTAAAGTCGAGTCACAACTGACTGTTACAGTACTCGGCTCTGGCAAACACATCCCCGCAGAGCGTGGCGAAAGAGCGCGACACGGCCCACTTACCGGAAACTTCGCTGCTGGGTCTTGAATAGTACCTCGAGATGGCTGGCCACATCAAGTTCAACAGATTGTGCAAGATCAGCACGATACTTCCCTCCAGGAGGTAGTACTAATAGCAGGTAGTGCCATATGAGGAAGGTGACTGACCAAATCAGGATCGATTCCGTCATGGGTGCAACCAGCTAAAAGGCTGCATTTGCGCTGCGTCTCGGAAGATCAGACTTGACCTTAAACCACCACCATCCTTGAATCTGCATGGTCCTTCTGCAGATGCGCTACAGGTGCGGATGAATACTTGTGGTATGTACCCCGTATCTGTTACTCGGTTCACAGACCAAACATTGCCAGCCACCAGCGTTGGGCGGAGTACACCAGGTTGCAGCTAAGTGTGGTATCACCTACACGAAGTCGCGAGAGTTTACTGACCGCCTGAACGTCTCAACAGAGCCGCTCTACGCTGGCGAAACCCCTTTGACCTTCGACCTGACGGTGGACGCGTCAAGACGCGACTGGTCACGTGCTGGGATAGTGCCAATTGGTACCATGTCCCGCTCGCCGCCGTCAAACGCGCCCACGACCTCGACCGTCTCTGTCGTCGCTATGCTCGATGCCTTCTCGTCGTCTGCATCCATTCTCTGTCCCGCTCCGCACCTCGCCATGGAAGCCTCTCTCTCAGCGTCGTCCATGCACCCCTCAAGGCAGAGGCCCAATCTCGGACCGCCGATGCCGAGTTCGTTGATGGCCATTTCCTCATTTGCAGTGGACCAGCCTCGTGTAGCAAGCTCTCGCCTTCTGTTCGCACACCGCTCCCATTAGCGCAATTGAGCAGCCAACTCCCGCTCTGGAACGTTCTCCTCAGTATGCAGCGTTTGCGCATTCGTCATGCCAGACTCCCGACTCGGCGCGTTCTCGACGGCATCTGCCCAGCAAGCCAGCTGCCGGCCGCATTCCCTGTTCCAGATGGCCCCCAGACTCTCACTCCGCAGAGGTGACGCTGGTCTACGAAGTCTGCCGGTGGAGAATGCTCCTCCCAAACCCCTTTGGAGAGCGGGTGACTCGACATTGCCGCTGGGACCATGGCCGTGTCCTGTCCGCGCCCGGACAATACACGCCGGAGGTCCATGCGTATGGCCCCTGGCACGCAAGGTTAAGGCGCTGCCACAGGCCGTCGGAGGCTCTCAGACGCAGATTCAACGGACTGTATCGCCCTGACCCCGCGGCGAGGCGTCCGTAGCTTCAGTAAGCGTCTTGTTTGTGCGCCAAAACATAGACCGTGTCCATTCTCGGAGAATCCTCACCTTCACTTGTGGCCGTCGCAGGCTCAACTGATCCGGACGGACTCGGGCCCAACGCGTGCCTTCCCCGCGAGCCCGTTTTTCTTGCGATCTAGATTTTTCCTTTTCCCCTCGTGGGGCCGTCCGATGCCTGATTATGGCGTCTCGCCTAGGCTGCGTGCACGCTATACAAGCAGCTGCATTGTCTGCCATCGCTCCTCCTCCTTCCCTTCTCGTTTCCGTGCTCTCCTCCCTTGACCCTCTAGACTCCTCGCGTGTTCGACTCTCCCGGCCGCTCCTTCGCCTATCCTTGTACCCATCCAACCTGCGATATCTGCGACGCGATGCTCTTTCCGAGCCTCTCGTCCTTCTCCGCCCTTCTGCTTGCGTTCGGTCTCCTCGTCGCTCATTCTCCCGTCTCTGCTCTGAGTATACCCCCGACCTTAAAGTCGCCTGCGCGCGTGAAGTCACTTCGTCCTGAAGGTCAAGACCAATGGACGAACGCTCAACGCCTCGCCGCGGGCCTGCCCCCGCGTGCTCCCCGCACCTTCAAGCGCGCCACCTCCACCGCCGCGGACCCGCTCGCGCCTGCTCCAGTGAGACGCTCCGCACCTAGCCCAAGTCCTAGCTTCGCGTACTCCAAGACCAGACCGTACGTCTCCTCCGCTGTCGTCCGCTGTCTGACGCGCGCTCATGGCGGAGCCCCTCGTATTGCAGTCTGGTGGAGACCTCGTACACGGGACGCATTGTGGCGCGCGACGCCGGCACCGACGTTCCTGTAGGATATGTGCGGGCCTCCTCGTCCGGTGTGTGAGTGTCGTCTCGTTTAATCTCCATTTCCTGTCCCCGATCACAGCATCATCGCTCACTGCCTGCGCCCGTGCCTGATCTGCATTAATCTCCACGCCTCCTCGCGCTGCACGCTCTCTTCGACGACACCATGCAACAGGAGCCTTGGCAGCGACGCAGAAGGCGCCGCCCATGTCGCGTTCACCACGACTGGCTCGAAGGCATTGTTCAGCATCAGCAACCTCGACTCGACCGTGACGGTACGCTATAACGTTTTTGTCCGTGCGAAGGCCGTAGCTCATACCAACATCGATCTGCATTGGCACAACAGAACGACCCGGAAGCCTTCGCGTCCGCGCAAGCCTCGCCCTTCATTGGCGGTGCGGGCACTTCTGCTCTTAGCGCCGGTTCATCTAGGTACGCTCGCTCGCTTCTCCCGCTCAGTGCGGCCTTCTCGCCTTCCCTTCACGTCTATCGCGTACGATGGAGGAGGATCGGGGCGAGAGGGTCACCGCATCTGATCGTAATCTGCCAAACGGAACTCGGAACTCACGCGTCCTGCTTCCTCCCCCTTTGCGCTTGTAGTGCGGTCGCGCTCAACAGGGTTCCACAAAGTGAGTCTAAACCGTTTCGTTCTGCCCCCTATACCGCCGTGCGAGCGCGAGGTGCGATGGCACAACTGCGTGCCGTCCGGGTTCGGCGTGTGGCGCCCGTGCCCATGGTCCGTGGTCGCTCGCTCCGCTCGGGGCGGCGCTCGTGTCCATTACGCCTATGCGCAGGAACGAACAGCTGAGCATCTCCAGAGAGGATGATGCTAAAGCCGGCGCGCGAGCGTAAGAGGCGTAATGCGCGCTCCGATCGCGCTGCTCAACTCTGCGGTTCGCCCACATGGAGACGCAACGCAGCACGACTTAGCGTAACTCGATACTAACCCAATCTCTGTACAGCGTCCGCACATGCGCGGCCAGCTGCGGCCGGCCCAGGAGGCGCAGAGTCCACCATCTGGACGTTCGACGCGGCCACTCAGGCACTGACCGGTGCGTTTCACCTTTCGCTATCCATCCGCTCTAGTCCGGTACAGGCGATCGCTGACGACAGTGGCTGGCGCGGTTGTGGCGTTGTGTATGTGTGTACAGCGCACTGGGTGAACCCTGACGGCTCGCACCCGAAGACGCGCGTGGCGTACAGTGCGCGCGACGGCTCGCTCATCCTCACCGGGGATGTAGGCGCGTACCAGCAGGCGCACCCGAATGATAACGTGTCGGAGGTGGTGAGTATTTCTGTCTTGCAATGTTGCTTTTCCCTGGCCGGGCTGCGTGGCCGGGCTGTGTATCGATCCGAGCGCATGAAATACTGACACTCTCTGCCTTGATTTCCAGACGCTCCACTTCGTGAGCGACTGAACGAGAGCGAGATCCGCCCATTAGAGCATCGCGCGACCGGCTCCGCGGCGGGCATCCCACGTATACGATGGCGACGACGACAACTCAGACGAAACGAACAAAAACGCGTAGACGAGCAGGCAAGATCGTCTGCGGCGATGAAGACGATACGACGACGACGACGACGTTGTACGAAGACGCAATGGCTATCACGATGGACAATCGCGCCGGTCCCTTCTACCTAATCTCCCCACTTCCTCCACAGCGAACTACGCATACTGGCCGTCCACCTCGCGCCCCGCGCGCACGAAGGTGAAACAGCCAGTATTCGGACTCTCAGGACCGGCGCGCGCCTCTCTTCCCCCTCTCCCCACTGTAGAACCTTGCGGTACTGTACTCGGACCTCTTTCCCCCTTCTGGTGTGCTTAATCCCTATTTCTTGGCTCTTCTGTTACGTGTGTCCGAGCACTGGCCATGCATGTACGTACTGTACCGGCACGGATCCTGCTGCTCCCCCTTATGTTCGCCCTTCTCCTCGATCGCTTGGACGATGGACCTGCTTATCGCTACCTCCCCTTGTACGCTTGTCAGACGAGACACTTGTGGTTGTGTTCGACGATAATATGGCTGAGACGTGCCTGGCACCGTCGCGGTCTTGTGTATATTTTCGCTTCCGACATCGTTGCGCTGAAGTACGTATTGTTACTGGCGCCACTATTGTTGGTGTTGTCGTTTCATTTGTCGAATACTATCTGGCCGGAGGACCCTTTCTTGTTCAAGTTGCGCTTCTGTGTTCTTTTCACCGATGGACGACTGGCATTCGCTGTGCCTTGTTCAATGCTTGCACAGGAGCAGCGCAATCGGGTGCAAACACCTGGTCCTGACAAAAAGAAACCGTTCCAGACGACATTCCCATTAGCCGACTCGAACGACTGACCTCGTCATAGCACACTGTGAAGATACTAGTGACGCGCTCTACCAACTGAGCTAAACGGGATGTGTGGAGAAGACCTCATTGCGCGTCATAATCTGTATAGATCCCACTAGTCCACCCGACGACTAGTATTCGTCGTTCAAACATTCAATTCTCGACGTTGCGATACATATGCATACCACAGGAGCAGCGCATTAGAAGGGTATGTACGGTACATCATTCAGTCTGCGGGGTATCTCTGAGCACTAGCTTCGCGTGTATGATACAAGTCTATCGAGCAGGACGGGTGATGGTAGTCGGCGTGGTCGCGGAGAGCTCAGTAAGTCGCCGCGGCCCTACGCCGCCCGAAGCCTCCTCCGAACCCCCTGCGGCGACCTGTCGTCGTCGTTGTACCGGTGGTCCCGCCGTATCCTCTTCCGGCCCTGGTTGTGCCCGTGCCCGTGCGGCTGAAGCAGCGGCAGCAGAGGATGGCGACGATGACGTCCCAGATGGTTACGAGGACCTGCAAAACGGAGAGGTAAGTCTCCACTCTGTTTACGCATCAAGCAGATGAGAGAAGACGTACAGTTACAATGGCGGAGACGATGGTCTCGATTACGTTCGCAATGGCAGAGATGATGGCGTTGATGCCAGAGCCGATAGCAGAAACGATGGAACCCTGAAGGTAGAGAACACACTGCGTTCAGCGACCTTGCCCACCAGACGACGCATGCGTCGCAACGTACCATGATGATGTTAGAGTAGGTTCTGAACAGTCGTGAGTCGTGAAGTTCGTGAAGTTGTTGTACAGGAAGATGTGGATGATGTTCTTTGTTGGAGAGCCACTGGAGGCCCTCCGCTCGTTTATATACCGAGGCACGTCCAGGAACGGCCGTGACGTCTTGGCCACGCGCCGCCTGCTCTGCACCAGCACGCACCATTGCACGTCGCCCAGGCTCCACGGAGCATGTCCGGGCTCCCCACTCTTGGCTGGTGATGTCATATTCTATCGACTCCACTGCGGGTGTGAGTGCGAGCACGTTCGAGCGCCTTTCTCAATCTGAAGAGGCAGTCGGTAAAGCGTCGCATGGAGCACAGATTTTTGTAGTGCACTCGTGAATTCTGTCACTCCTAGAGGACAGATGTAGTGAGAAAGGTTCTGACCGTCATAAGCAGGGTGTGGGGAATCCTGACGGAGAGCGCCACAACGCGTCACAGATAATCCTTCGTGGCTGTGCGGTGTCATCCCGTATATGGTAGGCTCAGCGGTGCTTGCTGAATGACGTCCTTTGTATAACGGGAACGTCAGCATGGGCCTCGGACCCAAGACTGTCACGGTGGAAGGACAAGGAGAACACGTCTGCTGAGAGCTTATATATAGTACTCACGGAGAGCAGTTTACTCTGTCGAGCAGCCATAACACCTGGTAGCTTCTCAGCATAATGTGTGTGCCATGCATCACGTCGAATACTGTAGCTCTCAATTCTGACGCGGTCGCTCCGGAAAGTAGGCTGTAATGTGTGATGCATTGATAACCTCGACAATACAGGCAGCGGATAGAGAATAACCAAAGGAGCGTAAGGGGATATAGGGGAATAAAAGGAGAGTGAGGGTGTGATAACGGAGAGAGATATGCTACATGGATTCTATATGCACAACAAAGAGAAGACAAACCGTGTACCGAGGAACGTAAGGCTCGTAAAGCGTCGTCTCATAGACGGTCCATACCATTGGGCGTCCTACACCTCGGCCAAAAGTCGAGTCACCCACCTGGCGACCAGCCCCGCCGCCTCCCTCGTCTTCTCCCAGTGTTCCTCGCGAACTTTCGGGCGGATCTGCACGTCGAACTTGTCGGGGTGCCACCGCATCACCTCAACTTTGAGGACGTCCTTGGGGCTCTTGCCCTCGATAGTGTTGCGGAAGGGGTGGAAGAGGAACTCGCGGACGCGTTCGTAGGTGATGTCGGAAGGATCGGTGTGTTGGTAGCGGAAGACAGGGAAGGGGAACTCGTGGAAGCCGACGATATTTTTGAGCGCCTGGTTGGTCTTCAGCTCGGTCCACTTGCGCTCGTACAAGTCGCAGATCTCGCGTGCCTGTCGCTCCATCTCCGCCTGCGCCTGGCGGGCCTGCTCCTCGCGCGCAAGGCGCTCCTGTTCCTCCTGCGCCCGACGTGCCACCTCCTCCGCCTCCCTCGCAGCCCGCTCCTGCTCCTCCCGCATCTGCCGCTCGCGCTCGCGCTGCAGCTCCTCCCAGCGGCGGCGCATCTCCTCTTCCTGCTGCATCTGGGCTTGCACCTCTCGAAGGCGGCGGAGTTGCACCTCACGGAGGCGCTCCAACTCTGCCGCCCGCTCGGCCTCTTCCTGCTGCCTCCGCCGCATCTCCGCCTCCTCCGCCTCCCTGCGGCGGCGCTCCTGCTCCTCGCGGAGCCGCTCCTCCCTCCACTGCCGCTCCATCTCCTGCCGACGCGCGTCCTGGAGGAGGGCATCCCACTTCGCGCGCTCCGCACGCTCGGCTGCCTCGCGAGCCTCCTGCTCGCGGCGGCGCTGCCGCTCCTTCTCGTTCTTCTCCCTCGCGGCGGCGAGCTTCGCAGCGGCGGCGTCGCGCAGCTTCCGGTAGCGTTCGAGCTGGGGAGCGTCGGCGATGGCGCGGTCCGTCTTCACGGACTCCTCGTGATACTTCTGGCGCATGATACCGTTGATGCGGAGCTCGGCGATGCGTTGGAGCAGGATCTGGTCGGCCTCGTTGAGCGGGCCCTTGGACTTGAGCTCCTCGACGAGCGGCTGCGCGGCGTCGTCGCAGTCGACGTAGATCTGGTTGCCGACGAGGGGAGGGGGCCCGGGGCGCCTGCGCGGAGGGGGCGCTATGTAGCGCATGTTCTTCCACTCCTCGCGGGGCGGGTAGTCGGTGCCCTCGCTGCGCGGCTTGCGACGGCGGGGGGTGACGGGCGGGGCAGCCGCGCCACCGTAGTCGTTGCCGTTCTCGTTCTGCATGGCCATGTAGGCGCGCCGGACGCTGCGGAGGTTCAAAGGGCTAGGGGGCTGGACGGGGAAAGCCTTACGCGGGTGGAACTCGGGGATCTTCGTCTGGCCATAGGGACGCTTGACGTTCGGGCTCTGGGGGCTGCGGACATTCGGCATGGCGCGCTTGGGAGAGTACATGGTTCTGGATGTCGTTCGAGGGAAAGGTCTAGGAAGTCCGATAAATGGAGCGAGGAACGAAGCTAGGGCTACAGTTGTCGATCACTGAGGGGTACGGTTCAGAAGGGGATCCTCCGGCGTTTCGTAGTGGTGATTGAAGTGTGTGGTTGAGTGTTGATGTTGCTGTTGCTGTGGTGGTCAAGTGGTGTGACGGGGGCTTGAAGGCAAGGGGCCGGAGGACCGAGGGTTCAGGTGGCTAAGCGCAGTGGGGGAAAGGGTGCAAAGTCAAGAGGAGGCAACGCACGCCGCAAAGCAGATTTTATAGCTTTTGCCAGTCGCTTACACGGCGGATGTCGAATGCGGTCGAGACTGCGTGGCGTTCGTGTTTGTTTGGTCAAAACATGAGCACTCTGAAAGTTGCCATGTTTGTCAAGTGTTGGGGCAGGGCCGGGGCTAGGATTGTCGACAGGCAATCGAGGGTGCCCGTTCGCCCATTGTTGTCTGATCCGGCGCTTTGGCGCCCTTCATCCGATTGCGCGTCCCGTTCATCGCAACGCTTGGCTACCGTGTTCCTTGACAGCCCTTCAGTGTCTCTACTCGTAGTGCGCAAGCTACTGAGCATACCGTGACAGAAACCGTCCCCGCCTTGAACGGCGGCGAAGGCGTCCGGCTAGACTGTGAGCTGAAAGGCGGTCAGGCGATCGGACAGTGCGGCTGGCGGCTGTACGCACCCTGAATACTCGTCCATTGTGCCCATGTGACACGTCACCAAAATTTTAGCCATAGAGCGGCATGCAAGGCCGCTTTGGGTGATGTCCGCGTACGAATACCCGGGCCTACGCTTTGCCTCCCGAGGTTGAGTTTGTGAAGACCCACACACAAGAGGGTGCCGCTGCAGGGCAGTCCGAGGATTGGGTCTTTGATGGCAGGCTTTGGGGCAAAAGTACCTTTGAAGACCGCGGGCACAAGCGTGGCGGCTCCCAAAGCGAATCTCGAGGACGACGGTGAGCACGGAGACAGTGGACCCCGACATCGACCGTCGGCCAATATATGTGCTCCCTGACGTATTGTAGACGTGTAGGAGATTGATCCAGGGTCGCCTGAGGTCCTGCCTGTTGGGCGTCGAGCCATTGGCCACGGGTAGGGAGGGTTGTCTTTGCACGATCCTATGGGGTGCATATGCGACCCTTTGCAAAGCGGCATGAGGCATACTGCGCGTGGGCCGCAAGTTACTTCGTATCGGGTTGCATGGACAACTACCGGGGACGCGAGGGATCCTCGTGGACGCCACATGCATTGGCGGACTGTCGCCGAGAGCGTCGACAGTCGGACTGGCAGAGTCCAGCTACATCTAAAGGCCCGTATTTGGATGAAGCAATCACTAAGCGAAGTTGAGGAGTATGGCTCACCAAGCACCTATCCTCAAGCCGAGCTGGCTTTGCTTGACCACGTAAAGTTTCCGTGCCAGAAGTAAACAGCGATTCATATTCGCTCAGCCTGTCCAACGTTGAAGCCATCCTGTTCGGAGCTCCCCGCGGGATTGCCAGACTTCGTAGATGGGTCTCTGTGAGGCCGGCTCAAACGTGACGTGGCTCGAAGAAAACCCAGAAAGAGGCGATGTATGATACTCAGAGCCGCGTAGGTCACAGTCTGTAGGGCACAAGACGGTTCAGGCTCAATCGCAGAAACGGCAGCGTTGTTCAGAGAGTTTGTTTTTGTACAGAGAAATGTAGGCTTGGGGAGCTCAGACACCACTTTGTGTACGTGGCTGAATGTGTGGACTAACTACAAACAAGTCAAAAGCGGCGCAACACCCAAAAGGGGTAATTACCGACGCTCCCCCGCCCTCGGCTCCTCCGGCACGCTTCGCCGGACGCGGAGGCGCTCTCACAATAGGGGGTCCGCCCAAGCCTGTTCGTTGCTTCTGACCAGGTCAGTATGTTGCTG